TGCGTTTGGCCATTTAACATGCACTAGTATCTTAGCCTTCCAATGAAAGTAGGGCATCTGGCCCATTGGTTGCGGTCCTAAATCTAACCTTAAACAAATTAAATTTATTTTAAATAATGTTATATATTCAATTATGCCATCGACAATGCTACTACTTTGTAGTTCGCAGTCCTGAAATGCTATTCATTTAAAGAGTATGCCCCCATTTAAATAAATCGACTGTCCCATTTAGCACAGAATGATTTTCTTTTTTTTTTTTTTTTGTAAAAAATACGTCTTTAAAAATAAAACCACGCGATCGTCTGCCTGATCGAACTTATGTTTTTGTTTGCAAATGCTTAAAGGCTGATGGTCCCAATTATAACAGCAACAACAACAGCAAATCGAAGTTGAACATGAAAATAGGAAACATTGCCAAAATGAATATACCTGTGTCTCTGTGTGTGTGTGTGTGTGTTTGTGTGTAATATATATTTAGAAAATCTGTCGGAAAAGCGTGCGACCAAAATAAACTACACGCTATAGACAACAAGAAAAATTTGCTTGCTAAAGGGAACGTCTACAAAGGCAACAACAACAATAATGAGAGCAAAGGCGTAATGAGCACCAATGAGCAGTACAAGGGGTGTGTGGGGCTCCTCAGAGGTATGCTGATACTTTGCCAGTATTCTGTACGAACGATCCCCATAGGTATGGCGTGGGAGGGCGGCAGCTGAGAAAAGTCAGACCAATGTCTAAACTGTGCTATATATGCCAGGTGGTGCGCAAAACGCCAACTGACCCTCCAAACCAAGGTACTTAAGCGCGAAAGAGTTGTAAAGAGTCTTGGTTCATTGAATTCCATTCAAAAATACGAGTATTTCTCATTTTATTTCCTTCCCACAATAACATGTTGCTCACATATGGGTAGAATTACAGTAGTAGGGAGTTTCTCTGAAAAGGCTAAGGTTATTAGCAACAAACTGAAATAATAGCTGGCATTGATTTCAAGAAGAGTAAGAAGAAACGAAAATTGTGGAAATCATAAATTTCAACAAATATTATGTGTGTCCGTTGCTTATTAAAATGTCAAATAATTTAAAAAAAAACGAATAGAAATGTTCAAATTTTCAGTTCAATTTTGGCAGAACTCTAGTGACTAAATTGATAGAAAAAAAAAAATATTTTAGTTCACTGAAAAAAGGGACATAATAAATGGTAACAAAAATGAATATTTGTAAATTTTTAGCCAATATAAGAAAACAACGCAAGCTAGACAGTTCAGCAATACTTTTGAATACAACAAATAGAGACAGATCTCAAATCACTCTCGTAAGATCTCGAGAAGTAGCAATATTAAAAAAATAATAATATTAAAAAAATTAGGGACATATTTTATACGCTCTTTAGATTTTAAAGTGACTTTTTAGAAAGTCTGTGTAGAACGTATTATAGATATATGGAATCAGAAGAAAATTGCTAGGAAGAAGTGCTTGCAAAGAATCCACTTAAATCGTAGCCAATCACATTTGTATATTTCCCAACTGTTTCTATCAAATCTAAATGAAGCAACGCAGTTCGAAAGAATGTACTATTAATTTTGTGTTAATTATGTAGTAAGAATATGTAAATAGTAAGTATATAAGGAAATGACTTAGCTATTTTTGTACAAATATTGGCGATTCTTTTAAATCCAAAACAATCTAAGCCCGAAAACATTTATTAGCACATTTAATAAAACAAATTGTTGGATCCACTATTTTAAAAAAAAAACTGAAATATAGATAGAATGGATTGTTTTCAACACTAAAGTCAATTCTGTTAACAATTAGGACAGGATTTCAGACGTAAAATCCAAGTATTGCAATGCGTTATTGTTTTGTTTTTTTTTTAAAAAGGATTGGGTGGAAATTTGAGCAACTATTTACTTATCCCTTCACCAGCTTCAACAACTATGTAAAAGAGATGGCTTAGCAAAAGCTTTAAATTTAGAAAATAGCGACGGAAGAGATGAAGCAATTATAGTAAAAGTCCCTGCAACATGGATCCTTAAAATTTCGAATGAAATTCAAGATAATGTAAAATTTCAGAGTCATCTCTGCATTATAGTCCAGAAAATAGTTACAGACTTTTAGATTCTAAAGTGATTGAATGAAAAGTGTTTTTTTTTAAAATATGGCAAAAACTTATTCGTAAAGGGGAAAAGACAGTGGTTAAATGGTCGGTAGAGCACTAATTACTAATCCCTTTAGCCATACAAGCAGGCTCAGCTGTACGCCTTCGCGGAACTGTTGGGTTCATGTAGGAGGAACAGACCACCAGCATTCGTATATTCGCCCAAATACTATAATACATAGTATTGTACATGAGGTGGTGGGTTTGGCTGCTCCTCTTATACAACAATAATATAAAATACGCTACAACAATAATAGCAACAACAACAACAACAATAAGCATAACAAAACAAGACGCAATATTTGCACAGTTGGCGGGAATAAAACTCAAACAACATATTCAGCGCTTTTTTTCGCACATACTATCAACAATAATAATAAAGTAAAAAAATCTAATAAAAAATAAAATAATAGAAGAAAAATCTCGAAAAAAGTGAAAATAAAATAATGCATATATAAATAAATAAAAATAAAAAACAACAACAATAGAGAGACAACAATAATGCTTCGCCTCTTCTGTGCTTTGTGAGCGCTTTCTTTTATTATTTTAAAAAGTTATAGTATACTGCACATATAGTATATTTTTATTATTTTCTTTTTCGGTTCCCTACACTTTTTGTATTTTGTATTTTTTTTTTTTTGGGTGGGTCGGTCGGCCGCTTGTCGTTTTTTCGTTTTTAATCTAAATTGGCGCATAGTCATATATACAGATAGTATATGTGTGCGATCGCAGACTCACACACACATCCAGCACGTGTGTGTGTGTGTAGGTGTGAGCGAGTAGTTGTGTGTATATTTTTCTCTCAGTGTGTGCACACCCTTAATTGTGTAAAATAAATTGGCACTGCCGTCGGCAACTCGGCGCCCCTCGATCCGATCCGCTGCCTTTTTGAGTTTGACGTCAACTCAGTACGCCCTGCAGCCCCCACCGCACCCCCAACCCACCCTCTTTCTCTCTCTCTCACACACACACACACACACACATGCACAAACACATTCATTCGTTTTTGGGCAGCACTTTTGTAGTTGTAGATTTTGTTGTTGTTGGCTGCCATAATCGCGCACAGATTGTAAAAATTTAAATTTATAGATAATTTTCGCATGTTTTGGGCTGCTCGCGTATTTAGTTGTGCTACAAAATAGTCTACATACATATGCTTGTCTGTATGTATGTCTGTTTATGTGTGTGTGTGTGTGTATTTTTAGATAACATTTACGCATGACTTGATATGCTAAATTGAATTGTAGGTACGAGCTATGCCGTAACTTGTTGCCTGTAACTCACACATACCCGTATGCGCAAATTTTACATCATCTGCGGAAAGAATTGGGATTATGTAAGCGGCCCCTCTATGACATAAGTAAACGTGATCATCTAAACATTGAGAGCATACAGAGCGACAGAGCTTTTGGAAGTGTAAAGTGGCGAAACAGTTTAGCAACAGAATCTTTCAATTAACTGTTGATTGAACATTAAATGTTTAAAGAAAATTTGTTGTGAACTCTTTAGTTGATTACAGCGAAGGAAAGTTTTCCAAACATAAGAACTTTGGATTATCTTAAGGCTTTCATTTGTTAACTGTAAGGAGCTTAAAACAGCAGATACAATTTTTTTAATTTAAGTATTAACTGCTGAGTTCAGATTTAGTTGATAAAGAAGATGCAGTTTTTCTTAATAAATAATTTTATTTGTTATATCAGGAACTATTGAAAATTTTTGATGAAGCTAAATCGAAAAGTATTCTTAAAAACAATGAAAGAGTGGAAATTTTTGGCCAGTTAATGTTAAAAGAATTATACGACTATGTTGTAAAATAATTGTAAACTTATAACAATTACTAGAAGAAAAATCCATAGTTGAAAAATATTCAGATAATAATCTTCCATAATTATCTTCTTAAATAATTGCAAGTTCACTTCCTTCAGCAAATGTATACTATGTGAGAACCTGAGAAGCTAAAAAAATGTTCCAAGCTTAGAAAGTAAGAGAGAATTCGTATCTGATTTTTGTAACAGCCCAGACTTCTTTAAAAATCAAATTTTTTAATAGTCGTTAATGATGATGTTGAAAGTTAGAAAAATACAATTTCTATAAAATATCGGTCTTATGTAAACAATTAAAGCAATTTTGGCAACATTTTATGTAAAAGTACTGATAAGTAGGGCTCTTAGTAGAATATATCGGATCTAGAGAGAAGTAGGAATATTATTAGCAAGCCAATTCGCTAGTGGATCTAAGAGATCAGACAAGAACAAGCGATCTGGTAACGGCAGTTCAAACAGCTAAAGTGTTAATTGTCTTTTCATTTTTTGTTTATAAATGAAGTAAACGACAAGTGCAAACAAATAGTGATGAGAATTTTTTCTATACCGACCAAAATAATTAGTTGTTAAAAACCACAAAATGTTGGCCGCAACATAAATCTTTAGAATAACAAATATTGAAAAGCAAAAAGGCATAACATCATTCGTTGACGGCCTAACCTAGCGGTTTTGTTTTCCTTACAATATTTTAAATTAATTTTTTACTTTTTCACATTTTTATACGCTTTTATTTATAATATTTAGATCAACCTACAAGACCTACAGTCTATAGCTATTGTACTGTTATGAAACTTTTAATTCTGCCTGTCCTTAATTTTCTGGGCTTTCCCTATTTGATGTTCCGTCGTAAAATAACTTTAGAATTCTCGGAAAATAGTTATCATCACTTATCGCGCTATGTACTCTGTACATTTATAGTTAATAGTTGTTATATTCAGAGCTGATTTCACTTTCGATTTCAGGTCCGGTCGCTTTTATCGCACGAACACAACAACATGGCGTATACTTAATTCGATTACTAACCTTTCCAAGAGTGACTGGAGTAGCCAAAAGTTTGTGTAATCCAATTTGACGAGTTTTTAGGGTTACCCTTCCACAACCGAAAAAATATTATATTTATATAAATATATGTATGTATATTTATATGGGTAGTTAGTGCAGAGAGGACAGAATCAGAAAAGTAATCCGATTTGTTGGCCAATTAAGTGCAAGTGTGGAATCCAATTTTGAGTTTGCGAAAATTTTGTAACACACTTTCTTGTTGTTTTTTTTTTTTGAAGAATCACTTCCTTTTGTTATTTGCTCAATTTACGCATAAAACATTAAAATAGTTCCAAGGCACCACATTTTCATTTTTAGAGCTAAACTTTTTAACTTTAATTGCATTTGTAAACAAATTTTTCTTAAATTTCTGCAATTTTTAAGGCACAATTATTTTTACACACTTGCAGCCGTTGCCGCTCTCCTTCCATGAAAATTTTGTTGTTTTATTTACAGCATTTTAAAATTCCAATCGCATTTTGTTTAATTTTTCTTGTTGTTGTTGTTGTTTTGCACACGCAAAATTCAAGAATAAATTCCGTTGTTTTTTATTGCAATTTGTATTATTTTTTGGGCTTTGCTTCTTTTTGGTTGCTATTATTGTTGTTGTTGTTGTGTGAGTACGTGTGTAGTTGTAAGAGATGTATGCATGTGTGTGTGAGTGTGTATGGGTTTTTAGAATCCGAGCACCGCGCAACCGTCCGTGTCCGCCGCGTATCTGCCGCGCAACATCACAACAAAATTGTAACTAATGTTCGGCTCGCGAGAAAATAGGTTAAGAGTGCCGCGCTGTCAGCAGCTGCGTTGGCGTTGACGTTCGACGTTGGCAGAGCCGCTGCACTGGTTGTGAATTTCAAAGAATAATAACTAAAGGCGCACGCGAGCGAACAACGTTTATGCATATGTACATATATACATACATACATACATATGTTTGTAGGCTGATCTGAGCAGAGGCAGAGACGCGCACAGTTTGCGAAAAATTAAAAGCGATCGTGCCAACAACTAGTAGAAAAAAGAAGGCGCAACAGCAGCAGCAGCGGCAGCGACAGCAACAGAGGCAGCGACGGCAATGACAGCAGAAACAACAACAGCAAATGTGGCGGGCATCAGCAGCAGCAGCGGGCTGGCGTTGACGACGCGACCTACCAACCGACTAAAGCAGCAAACACAAACCAAATTGCCAAAAACCTTGATACCGATCGCACACACACACAAAACGCACTAATATATGCATACGCACACATTCCTACACATACATGTGTACACACATTCGCTCACATAAGCGCGGCACAAAAAATGGCAAACACAAATTTGTAAAGCAGCAGCAGCAGCAACGCGTCGCTGCGGCGGTCGCTGTCGTCGTAGTAAGCTTAAATTTGCGCACAATAAGAGCGCCGCATAAAAAAAGAGCAGCAATATGTACAGCAACAAAAGAGCAAAAAGAGCAAAGTTAGACGAAGCGGTCTTTGCAAAAAAAAAAACTACAAAAATGTTTGCTCTGCTCGCAGAGTTGATCTGCACGTTTGCAAAAACGAACGACCGGCATCAACAGACGCAGTAGCAGTGCTATAGATATTATTCCCATCGTTCTGGACTTATTCAAAAGCGGATTGCGATTAAAGATGCGACTGGCGGGATTCATAGAGCTTTTACAAGTTCTGGTGCCTTTTTATATAAATGCAACAACAACAAAAATATCTAAGTAAATTGACACATAACCTTCATTATGTGTAGTTATATAGCAAGCTATTGATGATATTTTTAGGATCAATCTTACTTCTTCTTCTCGAAATACAAAAATATATTGAATTTTATTGGAACTAATTTGTGAAAGGGCATACATTTTGAAGATATTCCCAGCTTGATTCAAGTGCTGTTCTAGCTTATTCTGAAGCTCAAGAACTGGCAACACTGATCAAGAGAGGCGCAACAACATGTGCAGCAAACAGCGCCCCCGCCATGGGTTTGGCGTTGCTTAGTTCTCTCACTCTCCCTCTTTCTCTCTGTCTCTCATCTTTGTAAAATGCGCTCATGAAATTAGATTTGCCGTTTGCTGAATTGTTGTTGCTGTTGTCTCATAAGTTCGCAACCATAACAGAGCCATAACGTCATCGCTGCCCCTTTGCTGCAGCAGCCCCGCCCCTAGCGACGCAAGTTATCGAAAAAAAGTTAAACTGGGCGAAGCCGTTGAAAAAAAAACACCAATAAAAAAACTAAAAACTTGCAATTTTTCGGCCAATTTTCGTTGTGTGCGTCGACATCGTCGTTTTTTTTCTGTTCACACATACAGACAACGAAACATACACATCCATATGTACATATACATATGTAAGCATGTATGTTGTGTATGCGTGTGTATTTTCGGCAAATGTTGCTGTTTGAAGGTCAACTTTACGACCCATAAGCGCAAAATTTTTGTTCGCGTTTTATTTGTGTTTGTTGTTGTTGTTGTTGTTTTACTTGGCATTAGTGGCGTTGTTGCTTTATTTTTGGCACACACACTGTGCGCCGTCGTCGCTCGGCTATTTGTTGTTCAATCGTCTGTGAGTCTGTAGAGGAATGATACGTACAGACATATGTATGTATGTACATACATATACATGTATATATATATATATGTGTGTGTGTGGGTAACTTTACATGCGCGTGTAGGGCCGGACAGGCTGCCTTTTAACGGCCGTCGTTGCTGCTGCTGCTACTGCTGCGATGGCTGCCTTGATCGCACACACACACACACACATACACACGTGCAAGCGAAGACACACACACACACACATGCACGCATGGCTCACAATTTGTACGCCTTTCTGTTACCTTGTTGTTGCTGTTAGTGTATATCACTCGTAAGTGTTTGTATGCATGTGTGGCTCTTGCTTTTTTATTATAAATTTAGAATTTTTGCAAATTTGTTGTTGTTGTTGTTGAGCTGTGCTACAGCACACACACATACATACATACGTACATAAAAAAAACATACATATGGACATATGTACATATGGATGTATTTATATAATCACAAGCTATAAACCTGATGCCGCTTGCTCTTTGTTCTAGTTTTTGGGATCGTTCTGCTTTTGGCTTTTTAATTGGAACTTTTTTTTTGTATGCGCTGAGTCGTTCAAAATACTCGTATAGCTAAATTTATATTTAATTGATAACTCTGCTGACATACATACATACATATGTATCTATAGTATTTACATGTACGTATTTCTTCCACCAATATCGATAGTTAAAGTAATTTTAATTTTGACTTAAATGATTTAAAACAAACTGCAAGCCACATTTTTGGCCAACTCTAATGGAACTTATTAATCGACGCGTAGCTAAAAGCTAAAGAAAAATGATAAGCTATGGTTCGAAATTCAATTTTACAAGTTGGTTTTCAAAATTGATTCACAAAGAAATGCATGAGAGCAGAAAAGTACACTTTAATATGTAATGCTTTATTAAATAGACTTTGAATTGAAGAGGACTTGTTAAATGAGACAAATTTGTGTGAAAACTATTCGCCTGTCTGATCATAGCTTTTTCTTCGCAAAATGCTCATAAAACTCAAAAGATTATTGTCAAAAATATAACAATAATTAATAATTCTTTTAAATTACTGCAGATGTTGATGGCCAGCCCTCTATTCGTACCGCCCTAAGTCGTGATTGAGTTTTAAAAAGTTAAATAGGAGATATGTATATGTATGTACATACATAGTATGTAATGTGGAAATTCCAATCCAATTCACGACTCATCAAAATTTGATTCAAAGTATTTTCAGAAATTAAATACAGAAAACAAATTCTTAGCTTCTAAACTCAAATTCGTGCTGAAAATAAACTGTTTTACTAAATGACATAAGTGGAAGCCATAATCTCGGCATACATTTGAGCCGAATGCAACGCTTCTATGGCTGGGTATAGCACCTCATGATTGACAACGAGATTATCATTTAAGATTGATTAGACGCTAAAAATACGCACTATTATCGCTTCAAGTCGCACACACACACACACATACACAGTTACGGATGCACAGACCCATGTTAATGAGAGCTTTTATCAATTACAGCAACACGCTGACACTTCACTTTTTAGCACACGCACACACAGATGCATACATGTATACATACATATTTATGTACATATGTATGTGTGTAGGTTTACGCACACGCGTTAACCATGCAGTGGGTTGGTATTACATCAATAACAATAATAACGGCGATGACAAAGACAGCAAATTTCGGAGCGATTAGAAATGGAAGAATTACACCGCATGCCGCTTAGAAAAGAACTGAACTGAGGACGACGGCAGCAGCGGCGGCGGCGGCAGCGACAGTAACAGCAACAGCGACACGCAATAATGTTGATTATGTGAGCAACAGTAGAGGACAGCAACAACAACAATAGCGAATTATTAAATAAATACTCTCGCATACAGAGAAAAAAGTTATGCGAAATATACATACATACATACATGGCGCAAAAAAATGAAATAAAAAGAACGGTATTTGCGTCGCAGGCAAACGGAAGAGAACAGAAGTGCTCTCTTTGGTAAATAAACGACTTGCGCACGCAACGGCGCAGCAACAGCGCAGTTAACGCCTTCAGGCGTGTGTTTGTGTGTGTATATGTGTGTGCACGGGTGCAGGGCAGACAGGAGGGCTTTTTTTTTGTTGTAGAAGAAGCTTTATGTGTCAAGAATTAGGACACAAACAATGACGAGAGCAGCGACGACGACAGCGACGCGTTTGTGCAGAATATTTAATTTCTAACGATCCGATTCGAATCCACAGCTCTTGTAGTGTTTCTACTTCAGCGAGCTGTGCAAAAATTATACATACATACATACACATCTATGTCTACATGTGTATGTATGTATGTGCATACGTAGGTTGTCAAGAACGTAAGAGCAAGAAATTGAAAAGAGCGTAGAGCTCTTTTTTATGGAGCTAAAAGATCGATTTTTAAAGCAGCTTCCTAAAGCTTATGATTTGCAATGCTTGCGTCCTTGCAATAACAGTATGAGTATATACTTCTCCCATTTGTTTAAGCATAAATTGTAGGTAAAACTTATAGATTATTCAAAAAAAAAAAGAAAAGAGAAACATTTGTTTACTAAAATAAAATTAAAGTAATTTGATTTTAGGAGATATTTTCCAGTCCATAAATTTGATGTAACTATAAATTGTTTGTATTATAACCAAATGGATTTCCATTATGTTTTTACAAATACATATTTATTTAATTCACGGTTATACTTAGGTTTACTTTTTGAAATACATTTTTTTCTCCATCACCAATTTATTGGTAAATTTTTATATTTTTCGTAGAAAATTGTGAGTATAAGTGCTTGTGTTTTTTTTTCGGCGTGCTAAAAAGAAAAATTTAATTTACTTTAATTAGCGCCAATTAATTAAAAGAGCGTTCGCAACAGCGTCGAAAACGAAAGCTTTGAAGTGTGCGCACAAATATGAAATTCACAGTATAACTAAAAAAATTCACCTTTTATGGGCGCCCAATGGTCGCCAGTTGTTATTGTTGTTGTTGCTGGCAGCGCCTTGACACACTCGCCCCAAAAGCGTGGCACAACAACAACAACAACAATTTCAACAAAAAGGCAAAATCTTAAAATTTGCTAACCTTCGTATAGCCATAGACGGTAATTCTTGCTGACAGTTACAGCAGCAGCAGCAACAACAAAAACAAAACTAAAGCCCATATTTTGAGCG